ATATGTGTGTGTGTGTGTGTGCGCGCGCGCGCGCGCGCTGTGCCATAAGCAGTCTCCAATAAATACAAGATAAACTCTTATCATTTATTTTAAGAGCTTAGTTATTATGTGTTTAATTTATTGTGGAGAGTTGTCATCTATAAGAAATCATGATTATTCATTGGTTCTAATCTCAGGTATTTATTTTATTGAGCGCCAATGAGATGTATGGTGAGGTGGATCCTGGTGGTTGACCGTTCGGATGTGCGGTGTCCGGATGAAATATTTTATAATTGAAGTGAGGGTGCACATGTGCCAACTTGTTCCCAAGGAACCCAATTCGTGAAGGATGCAAGGGGGGATTTTGCTCTATAAAAACATATAAAATGTATTTGACATCAATTGGGAAGATGCATTTGCCTTTTTGGTTAGAACCAACATGAAAGGGTTAAAGGGAAATGGAAGAAACGGGGGTCGAGGATAGCCTTCTAATTCTCATAAATTCATGTACATTTCTTCTCTGTTCTAAAGGAGAAAGAGTAGTGTTAGGTATTACTCATAATATCAGAATTTGGAGAATGAAGAGATGTCTCTTGGAACTGAAGTGGTGTGTCTCTTGGAATTTAGTGGATTGGGAGGAGCAAGGGCACAACGGAAGCATGGTGGCCCAACCCACATGGGTGCATAAGAAAATCCATGATATATTTTTTCTAAAGGACTGAATATTTGCCAATGTAGAGATTTGTTAGGTATGACTCATATACCATAAATGAGACAGATGCTGGAGCGGAACGAAGCCACGAGAGGAGTGGAGCGCAAGGATATGTCCAATCGGGGAGTTTCATTATATGGGTTGGGGGTGCGGGGCAACACCCCGCGGTTTGGTACAGGGGTAATTTAAGTGATTACATATTATACTATAGGGATATCTATATGTCTTGTCTGTAACCCTAGGTGAGCTGAATCTTGTATTATGTATTATTTTCTGAATATTGAAAAAAAAGTCAACGCTCTACTCCCGAGGATGTAGGCATCTTTGCCGAACCTCATAAATCTCTATGTGGTCTTCTGGATTTGTGTCGACTCTGTGTTTTTTTTCGCCCTAATTTCTCAACAAGTAATATTTATAGGCTACAGGGGTTCAAAATTGTTTAACTAGGTTGGTATACAACTATATATGCATCATATGGGACACTATGAGTGAACCTGAGTCATCAATTTCCATCAATCCATTGGAGGAATATCATGGTAGATGCTTTGTGGACCTTGGTTTGATAGTAATCAATAAAAGCATCTGGAACTTCGAGTTTTGGGTGAATGTTTTCAAGATCTATTGCCAAGAAACTACGAGTCAAACAAGCCATCAGTTTCTATAAATCTAGTTGG